TAATCCCTTATAATCGTCTTGATTTATTGATCCAGTGGCTATTAGGACTGGATGCGAATATTCATTACTTAAGGGAAAAGGCTTAGTATTTTTATCTAAATAATATTCATTTGTTTTTGTTTTTATTCTAATTATTGGTATTTTTTGAACTACATATGCTTTCAGTTTTCCGTCAATATCCAAATAGACATTAGTTCTTTCTACCCAATTATTTTTTTTTATTGAGGATTCTATCATAGGGATATTTAATTCTTTAATCGTATTAGTGCCATCCATAGAGTGTTCTGAAATAATTTTTTTTAATGTCTTTTCTGTAAAAAATCGTATCTTTTCATGTTCAGGTAGTTGTAATACTACTTCTTCTACAGGTCTGTTTTGAAATCTATTATAAGAATATTGAATCATTAATCCTAATAATATTAATAAAAGACATACTATTAACAATCTATATTTTAATTTCATTATTTTTTAAAATAAAATGTAAAATTATATTATTTTTTTAAATTTAAAATATCTTAATTTTGCAAATAATATTTATTTATTTTTAAATTTAATTTTAAGGTTTAAATTAGGTGATTTTTAATTTGTATTTAATAAAATAGATTTAGGATAAATAATAATTTCTTTTTATAATATATAAAAATATGGCAATAATATTGAAATCAAAGGAAGAGATAGAGCTTATTAGATTATCTTCTTTATTAGTTTCAAAAACATTAGGATTGATAGCCAAGGAAATAGGACCAGGGGTAACTACAAAATATTTAGATAAATTAGCTGAAGAATATATCAGAGATAATGGTGGGATACCTGGGTTTTTAGGTTTATATAACTTTCCAGCGACCTTATGCGTTTCTCCAAACGAGGAGGTTGTTCATGGGATACCTAATGATAAACCTTTGGAAGATGGAGATATTATTTCTGTTGATTGTGGGGTCTTAATGAATGGTTTTTATGGAGACCATGCTTATTCTTTTGAAATTGGAAATATTTCAAAAGAGGTGAAAAAATTATTAGCCATTACAAAAGAAAGTTTATACAAAGGAATTGAGCAATGTAGAAAAGGAAATAGAATAGGAGATATTTCTTATGCTATTCAAAGTCATTGTGAAAAAGAGGGATACGGTGTGGTAAGAGAACTTTGCGGGCATGCCTTAGGTAGAGGTATGCACGAAGACCCAGCGGTCCCAAATTTCGGCAGAAGAGGGACAGGTAAAGTTATTCAAGAGGGATTAGTCTTAGCTATTGAGCCTATGATAAACTTAGGAACTTCAAAAGTAAAATTTCATAAAGCTAATGAATAATTTACAATATATTGAATACAATTTAGAATTTGACGACTTAGATGTTTGGAAAGATATTGTAATTGCATACTTATCTGAAAATGGTTTCGATAGTTTTTGGGAAACAGAATCAGGAATTAGTGCTTATGCTGAAATTAATTTTGATGCTGAAAATGTCCTAAATAATTTAATTTCAGAATATAATTTAACATCATTAAAGTGGAATAAAAAAATATTAGAACAAATCAACTGGAACCAAGAATGGGAAAAGCATTTTGAACCAATAAATATAGATGATAAAATACTCGTAAGAGCAGATTTTCATCCAGAAAACCCTTTCATACAAGAAGAGATTATTATACAGCCAAAAATGTCGTTCGGAACAGGGCATCATGAAACAACATATTTAATGCTTCAAAATATGATAAATATAGATTTTAAAAATAAATTTGTTTTAGATATTGGATGTGGAACAGGAATTTTAGCAATTTATGCTAAAATGAAACATGCTCAAAATGTAATTGCTATTGATAATGACCAATGGGCGTATGCAAATTCTATTGAAAATGCAGAAAGAAATAATCTAAGTTTTGATATTATTTTGGGAGATTTTTCCAAAATTCAGAATGAAAAATTTGATATTATTTTAGCTAATATTAATTAAATTATCTTAATGAATGACATCCCTAATTATATTAAATCATTGAATAACAAAGGTTTACTATCATTAAGTAGTATGAACAAAGATTTTGATGATATAATTTATGTATAGAAAATGGATTAATTTTTGATAATAGAGACAGTAAGAATGAGTGGTTATTTTTAAAATATTATAAAAGAGTAACAAATATTTCAAATCATTGGCAAGAACAGGAGGATTTTAGTGTTCTTGTGGAAGAAGATGTTCAAAAATGTATTGTATTGCATAATGATGATTATAATACTTTTGATTACGTTATTTCCAGTTTAATGGAAATATGTGATCATACCCCTGAACAAGCAGAACAATGCACTTGGTTAGTTCATTATAAAGGAAAATGTGAGGTGAAAACAGGTTTGATAGATGATTTAATTCCAAAACATCAAATGCTGTTAAGCAGAGGTTTATCAAGCGAAATTGTATAAATATTCATCAAAATATGTTATTTCAATAAAAGTTAAATATATAAAATATATAAAATAATAATAATGTTATCAACAACATCAATAGAAGGTAATCCTATAAAAGAATATAAAGGAATAGTTTCTGGAGAGACAATAATAGGAGCAAATATAATTAGAGATTTTTTTGCAGGAATAACAGATATATTCGGAGGCAGATCCTCGGCTTACGAACAAGTTCTGACAGAGGCGAAAGATATTGCTTTAAAAGAAATGGAAGAAAAGGCTAAGTGTTAGCTACTAAATAAAGTTTACATTTGCTTAAATTTTACAATTATGTTATACAGTATTAAAATTATTAATAAAAAGGTTTTTCATGGAAAATGTATTATAAAAAACCTCACAAAATGTAAAGGTTATTTAGTTACAAGCCCTAAGGAATTGGGTGCAAACGCTGTTATAGGTATAGATTTAGACTATGAATCCTTAGGGCAAGGAGGCTCGATACTTATGGTGAATAAATTATATACTTTTTTCTTTTTTCTTTTTTGTATAATTATTAACAGTCAAATAGGCGTAGGTACAGAATCTGTTCATTCAAGTGCTGCTTTGGAGGTTTCCGCTACAGGAGGTACAGGAGCCACAGCTACGGCAACCATATCCGGAGGGGTAGTTACAGGTCTTACACTTACTAATGGAGGAAGAGGTTATACAACCCCTGTAACAGTCACTATTAGCGGAGGAGGAGCAGCAGTGAATAATGGAAAGAACGCTACCGCTACGGCTACTGTGGCTGCTAATGGCACTATTTCAGGACTTACATTAACCAGCGGAGGAAGTGGTTATACATCTACACCTACGGTATCCATAAGTGGAGGAAATAAAGGCGTTTTACTCCCAAGAGTAGATATCAGTAACCTATCCAGTACTGTCACACCTATTAACAACCCAGTGGATGGATTATTAGTATATAATAATAATGGTTCGGTCAATCCAAAATCACTTTATTTTTGGAATGCTACTGCAACACCTTCTGCTTCATGGAGCAGAGGTATATTTTATGAAAATACTCCAAAAGTAGCCATAGTAGGTTTTTCCGGTAGC